GTGCCGTATTATTTCCCATATTAACACATAACCATGACATTGTCATGATGTGTTTGACTGATACAATAGTTTGATGGGAAACTAGAACACGAGGCTTACTGGCCTTGGTTACACGTGTATTAACAAGTGTACGCACCATAGGAAGTAACAATACAAGTATATAAATATACCGGGTGCGGGGGTTGTTTGCCGTGTAAACAGAGTGTCGGCACTAAAAGCCGGTGTACTGATAGTTACCACCCCCTCTGAGGTCACTATAACCGCGCTGCGGTATTCTTGTTTATAGTCTCTGCTGGCAGATTGCCAGGTCCCTGGGGTAACGACCCAGCTGCTGTAGGGTAGTTCCAGTTCCCTGTCCAGATATCAGTACCAGGCTACCTCTACTGCAGAGCTCCGTAAACATGTGCCCCCGGCCGCCCACACGTGACAATGCATGCACTTGCCGCTGTTTTTAAATATTGACAAGCTGAAATGTTTGACTTATTTTAAACTAGCCATTCACGAGCTAAGTTTTACAGCTGGGAGAAGATAAACCAGACTACACGTTAAGTGTAATGTTAGCTTGTAAATATTGTATCGTCTTAAAGGCAGCTCAGGTAAACAATGTGCAGGATTTGTAAGTGCAGTGTGTTTTTAAGGGGGAAATATTGAGGATTTTAGGGAGATGGAACAGGAACGAAGTAAGAACAAAAGTGGAAGTAAAATGAGCTGACTTTCTCTAGACGCTGCCATGCATAGCTGCATATCAATATTTACTTGCATTTAATTTATTTTAATTAAACACACAGCAAGCCTAACCGCAGTCAACCGCATTTCTAGAAGAAGCTTTAAAAGCAAGCAAGCCTGGCAAGGACGTCCATTGAAGGATTGGTCAGTAGATCTAGACATATTTATTCTATTTAATAAGATTAGTCGATGTATTGTGTTTTATTCAATTAGCTATGAGTACGATTTGCAGTTCTCTTGGACCGCGTAACCATGCACTATTTGAGGTTAAGATGCTGCTGTGAGGTTAAGCTGTGAGGTTAAGATGCTGCTGTGAGGTTGGTCTTGTTCGGTTGTTGGCTGCTAGTGTTCGCTTCCATTGTTTTAGGACGCACGAGAAACTCTGTTTTAGACACAAATTTAAAGGAAGACCTCTTATTTAGACTTGCATTTAAAGTTAAACAGAGAAAAGTGTGGATTGAAATTGAATTGCTTGGTGGATCCGTGTGGAGTATGGCTTGCAACTTGACTTCTACGGTAGATGATGTTGGCTCATATTGACCGTTGCTGACCGTCGACCATCATCGGTATTGCATTATCCACTGTTTTGACCTGTGGGTTATAAGGCTACCCCGCTTTGCTTGATAATGCGAAGATAATATAAAGGATGGGATTATTTGGGTATTAGATCACCCCCAAAATTAACTGCAAAATTAACTGCATGAGAGGTGAGATGCAAAAACTGATGGTCGACGGTTGCTGACCGTCGACCATCATCGGTATTGCATTATCCACTGTTTTGACCTGTGGGTTATAAGGCTACCCCGCTTTGCTTGATAATGCGAAAATAATATAAAGGATGGGATTATTTGGGTATTAGATCACCCCCAAAATTAACTGCAAAATTAACTGCATGAGAGGTGAGATGCAAAAACTGATGGTCGACGGTTGCTGACCGTCGACCATCATCGGTATTGCATTATCCACTGTTTTGACCTGTGGGTTATAAGGCTACCCCGCTTTGCTTGATAATGCGAAAATAATATAAAGGATGGGATTATTTGGGTATTAGATCACCCCCAAAATTAACTGCAAAATTAACTGCATGAGAGGTGAGATGCAAAAACTAAACATTCGATAACTCTGCTTCTGATTAATATTTTTACTTCAAATTTTGAGTTATAATGAACTATGAGTAGGAGAATATGTCCTGTTAATTTTTATCAAAGTAATCGAATTTTCAGTAATTTCACTATAAAAGTTTACATGTAGTTAATTCTGAGCTACCCTATGGACTATATGTTGTGGCATTTTAGTTGAAGCTGGCTTCAAGACCCCAAAAAACATAATAATAATATCTAAGGATCGGAATATAATTAAGTTATTCAGTTTAGTAATGTTCAACATTCATAAATACAAGTGACCTATGAAGTAACCCAAACTCATACGATATACACGTTGTATTTGGAATCGTTAAATAAACTCTCTCAAAAAATGTTGTGTCACTTTAATTCGGTTAAATATACGCTACAAATTCAAATAATTCAGTTTCATTCGATTACCAGTCAGTAAGAATCTGGTTAAAATTCTTCCGTAACGTTACATTTTATTCCATCACCAGCCGCTTGCAAATCGTTTAGAGGGAAACTGGGATGTGTATTTACACACATTTACACATATTTACACCTTCCCCAGGGTTGCCATGCCCCAGAGCATTTCTATGCTCTTCTTTCGTGGGCCATCCAGGCCCACCTCTATTAAACAATTTTGAAAAAAAAACACATTTACACATATTTACACACATTTACACATATTTACACATATTTACACACATTTACACACCACTACAGTCTGCACTTACCAGCTATAGTTATAAAGCTAAACAGTAGTGCTGTACCGTAAGTCCTTCACTCAGGAAATCAAGATCCGGCTAGCTATCTCCAATACCAGGACTTCTTAAAGATGAGTTGTTGTTGTATAAGGTATAGGCTAGTCTGAACTGTCAAAATGTCGGAGATAGGGAGTAAGGTTACGTAACGTAAAGTCTTAACTCTTACGTAAATTAAAGTCTAAACTCTTAATGACTTGTTGTGGTGCATGCTGGCGATAACACATATCAAAATCCGCCAGTGAGTTAGAAGAAGACGTCATTTTGTGTTACAATGTTAGATCAAGTCGGAATAGGTATAGATGATTAGATGACTTAAGATTACATAACTGATATCTGAAAGTCTGTTGCAAATGACGACTTATCTGAGTCGTAATGTTATCTTGTCACTGATCTGTAGGGAGATACTTTAATTCTTGAAGGGGTTGGGAGAACTTTGTCGCTATAAATAGGAAATTTAGAGTTGAAAATTTCAGCAGAAATATTGCAACCCTTCTCTGTATTGACTGTCGTAAAAAACATTATCTTTTAGAGCTTGGGATATGATTATTCGCCAAATACGGTAACATATTGATAAATATCGAAGAGTAATGTCGTGAGCTCAACTCATTTCCACCTAGTATGTCTGGTATGCGTGTTATGAATTCTATTCTACATTAATTCACACATGGCATAAATAGTAAAGATAGATAATGTAGCCGAAATAACTGACACAGTAAACATTTCCGGCAAGCACCCCTCAATTCATTTTTATAGAGCTATTTTAAGACAATAAGAAGGAGGAAATCCTAATGTAATCTGGATTATCAGTTTTGTAAACCTAGGCCTACTGACTACTGATATGAGGTAAACATATTGAACATGGACAGGAAAGCTGGAAAATTATGCGCAATAAGTGAAGTAGTTTAACTATAAAACAGAAAACCATATATTTTGCCGAAACAAACCTAGACCGTAAAGGCGAATAAGGCGAATAATGTAACCAAGGTCAAGTTGATCGACATTTTTGTGGTTTTCTACTCTGAACGTTTCGAGCTGCTGCATAGAGGTATAAAAACGTGACAATAACGTGAGTGCAGCCCGCTACTCAAACTAATTTGATAGATCAGGTTCAATGAATAATCTTGAGTCACTTTGACCGCGAATAATTGTCCAATTCATGACGTCAATTTTGCACTTTTGTGTATAAGATGCTCGAGTTGCATCTAAGATGATATTTTACAACCGAAATAAAATCTTAATTTAACCCCCTAAAACTACATAGAATTATGATAATGAATTTTTGTCATGATTTTTGTCAGCTGGAATGAATTTTATCAAGTTATTTCAAGTAAGAATACTTCACAGCCCAATAGAAAAAAAAGGGAGACAGTTGCAGTTTTTGGAATTGTTTGTCATAGAGAGTAGAGACATGTATACTCTCCCTCGTATAATAGTGGATTTTGGATATACAAAATAAAAAATATCCTAAAACATAAGTGAAATAACAATTTGTTTGGGGGAAGGAAACAGTAGCGGTAGATCAGGGTCCGCAGTAAATCGGCGTTTTGTTTGTATACATTATGTTAAGCCCTATTTGGGGAAAGGAGATGGACGCGGTAAATCGGGGTTTGCGGTAAATCAGGGTGCAGTAAATCAGGGTGCGGTAAATCAAGGTGCTCCCATTTATTTAAAAATAGAGACGGGAGATGAAAAGTGTCCAAGACAGCAATAATGGGTCCTTTCTATTCGGTTTTTAAGAGTGAATTTGGAGGTATCTAATCCTCAGAAAGGCTCTAATATTTAAACCGATGTCAGCGGAGGTGCTAAATTGGGCTTTGAAATGAAACAGTTTAGAGAGATAAGGATATTGAATTGCCTTGTAACGTGAATTGAGTATTTATCTGAAGCTGGAAATTGAATCGTAAACGTAAGATTTTGCTATGATGGGGAAATAGGCACCAGATGAACCTCGCATTCCTCCGCCAATTCTTAAGTTAAGTTCAGCTTTATGTAACGCGCTAAATGTTGAATAATGTGCAGCTATGTTAAAAAGCACTCACTATATTGCGCGGCTTTACGCGCACTAGCATGCAGTACCCGAGTGGTCTAAGATGTGGCGCGCTTGACCGGTCTATAACTTAGTCGCTGGCATTTTGATTTTTGACAGTGCTAAAACAAAACAGAATTATGGACATTATCACAGACATGGTAATATGGTGGAACATATCAGATGTAAAATAAATATTCCAAGAACACAGAGCTTTATCAATTTTCATCTTAATTTTAAAGGTTTTATATATTTAATTTGGCTAAGTCCCTCAGATTTGACTTCCGGACAAAACTGGACGAAAGACTTAAAATCACTGTCATGTTTCAAGTGTTTAATAGGTATTTGTTTACGAGAATTTAACCGACACTATTTCAGATATCTCACTGCACTATGGGCCCAGTGGATGGCCTTACGGAGGGTACGATAGGTCACCATACAAGATGGAGCAAGCAACACCCCACTTAGCTCATCCAGATAGACCACTTCTACCAACCCTCCCTCACTCCTCCCCTCTCCCCTTCCCTTCCTCCACCTACAGCTCCAGAATCAAAACAGAACACGATATTCAAACCATCTCCCAGTTCACCACAGGAACAGCACCCATCAGGGACACACCGCCTCTGTATAACCACAGTTCGAGTCTCTACAACCACCAGGTACCCACCTACAGACCCCAACATCCATACAACCCCTATCAAGGGAATCCCAACCTCCACACTTCTCCTCCCCATACTACACGCCTCCTCCACGCTCCCCAACAAAACATTGCTCCACTTTCTGGCAACATCTCGGCTTTGGCTCAGATTGCGTTCAACAACCAGCCACACCCTGGACTAGAACACCCAAAAGGAAAGGAGGAAGAACAACATGCCTACTCTACTAAGATGAAAAGTGCGGTGGTTAACCAGCAATTATGGAGACCTTACTGAGGATCAGACACTAAAAAAGCAACAATGGTTGCAACGTTCCGTGATCTTATATTACTTGTGTTGTCCAGAAAATACGATGAAAGTAGAGGTGAAGTTAGGATATTCGAAATGCAATAGAGAAATGTGCTTCGAGTCTAAAGTTGATCGTAGTTAGATAAAATTAGAAAATCAGCTGTCAGATTGTTCGAGAATTGTTTTCGTGTTTTAGCCTTTTAGATTGTTGTGTTAGAGTATTATGGCTGAAATTTCAAGTACATGAAGATCGCCGAAAAGTAATTAAGTAAATGAAATTCACTTGAAGTGACGTCCTTATTGTATACCTCCTTATCAGAGATATGATTGAAGTTGGCGAATGTTAATGAAGAAAGTAGAATATTGAGTTCAATATAATACGAACAACGAAGTTCAGTCTCACTGTATGAATGACAAATAGTAGAATGTAATGTAATAAATGTCAGTAATATAAATGGGCGGGTGGATGATGCCCCAGAAAGAGTATGAATTGTCAGTTTTTATACATTAGCTTATTAATCATTTCTAGTCGAAACAGCTGTTTTATTGTTAAATATAAAGTACAGATCCCGAAAGAGAAATTGATGCCTGGATTTCCATTTTGGTTTTGTGATAACTGATAAATAGTGTTGGAAGTGAAATATACAACTACAAGTACAACTACAAGACATGGCAGCATCGTGTGCAATGTTGTTGATCAGTAACTCAGCTAGCACTAGTAACTTAATAACATCATAATGAAGATGTCAGGATATTATGAAACATTGTTGTTACCCAAAGCAAGGAGCACGCTATATCTTGGGTATTCAGTGTGTTCAAAACTCGCGACAAGACCGTAATGACTACTCTCTACAAGTCACTAGTAAGAAGCTTACTAGAGTATTGCTGCCCACTCTGGAGCCCTACCAAGGTGACTGAAATACAGCTGATAGAGGAGGTGCAAAGAACTTTCACCAGTCGTATTGGCGGTCTTCAACATCTCAACTATTGGGAAAGACTCGTACAGCTTAAATTGATGTCTCTACAGCGCAGACGGGAGAGGTATATCATCCTGATGATGTGGAAGATTCTCCATAATGTGGTACCAAACTGTTGTGATATCAAGTTCAAGGTGACCCCAAGACACGGGGATGTAGCTGTCATACCCTCATTGTCAAAGTTAAGTTCCTTACGCAACCAGTCACTGTACGACAGGTCTTTTGCAGTTCAAGGACCGAAGCTGTGGAACAAAGTGCCTCACACAGTAAAGGCTGATTCATCCTTTGACATGTTTAAGTGTACTTGTAGTTTGTCGAACTTTCTTGCTTTGATACCGGACAACCCTCCGGTCGCCGGCTACAGCTGCAGTTGGTCAAACTCACTGGTCGACTACTCGCCATCCAGGTGGTCAGATATCTGATGACCCAATTCCGGCTCCACGGATGAACTCAACGAAGTAACGAAGTAAGTAAATTTGAAAAGCACTTTTGCTAATAATCCCTCTCCCTCTGCTTTTTCAGTTTTACTAATTCACTCTCCAGCGCGCTCATGTCACGTTTTTACCGTTTTATAATCGAAACCTTACCTGGGGACCCCAGGCTATTATGTTCATTAACATAGAATACTATAGAGATTAGGCGGAATGACAGGCTGAGCGCGGCCCAGTAATCGAAACCCTGAAGCTAACCTAAACCATTTAACCCTAACTACAATCCTAACCCGAACCCTAAACAAACGAATTCGTGTTTTACTGGACCGTCACGGTACGTGATCGAAACTGCTCAGCGAAGTTAATAATCGTTAAAACCCTATGTTGTGGCGGTGGCCGGTGTTCTCGAATCGATCAGAATCGAAAAATACATCGAATAAAGCTCTAGCTACTTTCACGTGCTCATGTCGAGAGGACCGGATATCCGGTTTAATATTCGGTTTCCAAAAATTTTGCCGCTGATATTTAACCGGCAATTTCTTTTTTTAATGTTCCTGAAATGCATATTTTTGTTTAAAATTAAATTCTTACCAAGGGGCATTCACTTTCAGTTACTGTTAGTGCTTTAAGTTTTAGTGACCAGTGAAATCATGGTAGCTTGTTATCTGTCAGCAAATGTTATAGACCCGTTCATGCAATGTAAGATTCTGTGTAACATGAACACAAAGAGTTAAAATTTAAAGTAGCTACCAAGACCAAGCTACCAATGAGTCATGACCAAAAGTAAAACCATTGCTTTATTCATGAGCATTGCACAATGCAACCATAGCTTTTTAATAGCATAATGACCTTCGTTGTAATCCTTAGTAATGGTATACGAGGGCCGGGGAGTTAGTAACGTGTTTGCTTACCATAATAAAGAAGAAACCCTCCGCAGCTACTAGGCTAGCCTAGTAGCTGCGGAGGGTTTCTTCTTTATTATGGTAAGCTAACTCCCCGGCCCGCGTATACCATTAGTCATTACTAAGGTCAAGGATTACAACGAAGGTCATTATGCTATTAAAAAACTATGGGCATTACCCTGGCCTCGGTAATTATGTTGACGCCACGAACTAGAACTATAACAATTGTGAGAGCTGGATTTGGGCTTTACTTCTAAAACGATGTTTACATTTGTGGTAGTACGTACGAGTATTACTATAATAACGGGTGATACTCGTAAAATGTTTGTTCCAAATATAAATATTAGCAATTATAGACCGTCGACGCCGTCCAACTCGGCGCACGTCTTTGACTTTAGCTTTGTGGATTATCATTATATAAAACTACATAAGCGGTTCCGGTTTGATACACGTTGTAAACTGTAAACCCCTTTTCCGTTTCGCGCGATATACAACTACAAGTACAACGTGTAGCAAGTTCCGATCCGGAAAAAATCCGATAAACCGGAAAATAGATTGCGATATCCGGTCGTTTCCGGTCCGGCAGCCAAAACTCCAGACCGGTTGGGTCCTACTCACGGCCTTTCTTCAAGTCTAACAACTTACAAATTGCAATCTATTAGAAACCCCCAGAAGATCGTCTGAAGAGTGATTTAGCACGCTAGCCGCTTTCCCTCCCCACAGTTAGCAGCAGTCAGCAGCAGTTAGCAGCAGTTTCTTTGCACTATGGCACCCCTGTGTCCCCAGGACTCCCCCTCTTCCTAACTTCCTTATTAAGAATTATACAGTATAAGCTATTATAAGCTATTATATTGAGGTTTTGCATGCAGTTTCTATTCTAAGTAAGTATTCTCAATTCTGTCCACTCCAAGCTTTATCGCTCGCCCGAATGATTCAAAATTCTTGTGGAAAGGCCCTAAGGTCTAACAGCAAGGCTAAGGCATAAGGGTATGAAAGTAGCTTCGGTTGATGTTGCCATACGTTGTACTTGTTGTACTTGTAGGCCTGCCGCGCACGATCGTGGCTTTCGGCTGTATCGTGGCTTTCGCCCCGATACTTATAGTGAAACTTATAGTGAAACTTATAGTGAAACTTATAGTGAAAATTATAGTGAAACTTATAGTGAAACTTATAGTGAAACGACAATGGGGGTCACGACGTGATAGTGAGATACACGTTTTGCTCGGCTGCCAAGTGCCAAACCATAAAGCGAGGTCACGTGAAATAATACGAGCAAAATAATCAGCATGGAAGCTAGATCATAAATAGATTATGGCCGTCGGGGAGCATTTGACAAGCTTTGAAGAATGGGAAATCTCCAAAATGGTTCACTCTCCCTTGTATTAAGTTATACAAGCTATTACCTGGGGACCCAGGCTAAGTGTTCATAATCATAAATAAATCTGCATTTTTGATTTTAATTACTGATACTCGGCACTCGCCCTCTGCGGCCCTCTCCCTTTCTTACAGTTAGTAGTCACAGATGCAGCGCAGTTATAAAGTTATACTTACACCCTTACCTGGGGACCCCAGGCTATTTTACTGGGCCGCGCTCAGCCTGTCATTCCGGCTATTATGTTCATAAACATAATAAATAAAGATTCGGCGGAATGACAGGCTGAGCGCCGCCCAGTAACTTACACCCCTGTTCCATGCCCAATGAACGATGAACGAGGATGGGCACGAGGATACGATTTCCATAAATTCGTCGAATATTGCCTCCAAATCCTCGCGCAAATACCCATCCTCGCGAGGGTAAATCATCATCGTGCACAATTTCCTTGTCATACGTTGTATGACCCGCCGCGCACGAGTGCGCGGCTCCCCCTGTATCGTCGAAACTCTATAGTGAAGCGACCGTGGGGGTCACCATGTGATACAACAATTTCCCACGAGGATGATTTCCTCGCGATGAAATTATTGGACATTTCCATCCTCGCGAGGGTATCGCGAGGGTTTTCTCCTCGCGCGCAGCGTATCAAAATGGGTAAATTTGCACTTATGTCACAAATGTAGGCAGTTTCTGGTGTCATCGCGAGGATCCCACGAGGATCGCACGAGGGTCGAGGATCACCGCGAGGATACCTATATGAAATTTCGACAAAATTATGGAAATCATATCCTCGTGTGCATCCTCGTTCATTGTTCATCGTTCATTGGGCATGGAACAGTGGTGTTATACAGTTATAGCAGTTATTAAGTTACGCTTATAGCAGTGATACAGTTATAGTTATATAGTAATACACGCTATAGTTCTACAAGTACGGCCACGGGTCATCGTTATATTTAGAACTGATTTTTAATTTTAAACAGAATAGGAACTTTTCTGCCGTTTCATTGACCGAAATTTTATAGTTTTGACTGAATTTTTAACCAGTGACCACTGACCAGTCAGTGAGCCTGAGGTCAGTGTGATTGATACGAGCAACAAGTCACGATCAAGGTTCTGAAAGCTGAATATCTGGAGAAAGCTGTGATAAAAGAGAAATCATGAAACTTTTCTAACGGTATACTTATAGTTATAGTAGGACATTTTCAGAAATCAGCTTTCCTGGACCAAATTTCACTGTTTTGACAGAATTTTTCTTCAACGAGTATGATTGATTCACGATGTCAATCCTTCGCATCTCGCCGATCTGCATACGAGAAGATGGTCATGCGAGAAGATGCGCGGCGCGGCCCAGTAGTGCATCGCGCTACAATGAGTATGACTAATGAGTGCAACTTGCAAGTGTACTCATTTTCGATGGCACAAGAAACGATTGAGGTACTGCATTGAAGCAAGATTTCCGGAGAAAGCTTTAAAGAATGGAAAATCTCCAAAATGTTGTAGGTTTATATAATTAATAATAACCTACCGACCCATTTTCAAATTTTGTGAAGTTTCCAGTTCCGGAAATTAATTTGCCAGTTTTGGTCACATTTTTGTCAACTGTTCAATTAGTCAATTAACTATGGATGGAATAAGGCACAATTTTAGAACTGGAGGCTGGTTAGACTCTCGATAAAAGCAGTTTGATTGGAACCAGCTTTGTTTACTGGTTAATGTTTACTCAAGTATTTATACATACAATTATATAGAATAGTTATATACCTAAATCTGCTAATATAAAACCATAATGACTCTAAAAATATACACTGCACAAAATTATGGACCTGGAAGTAAGACTAAATACTTCAGAGCTTAATACACGAATCAAAACAAAATTCTAGAAGACTGACAGTCTTGTGTTGAAAGACGAATGTGATTTAGAAGCTTATCAAAAAATTATAATCTTAGCGAGCCACGAATCCATAAATCCAAACAAAACTCTGTCTTAACACATTTCAAACAACAGTTTTGTCCACACTACACACTTTGCCTCCTTTAATGAAGTGTCTCTTATCTGGCTCGTCGTTTGATCTCTTCTTGAGTTCTAAAACAAGCTTTTGCTGTTCGGCACGTTCCTCTGGAGACCTATCCGGACTGATGAAAACTTTACCGAAATGCTCCGAGCTACGGAGATGCCTTGCTCTAGTCAAAATCTGCTGCACGATTGTAGAGCTCGTCAAAGTCACCTTAACAGGTCTATCAGCCACCTGTTTCTTATCCTTGGATTTGATCAAACCAATTCTGCTAGCTTCTATTTTTGGCTTTTCACCAAGTTCCAACAACACTTGACCGACCTTGTCACATAACAGCTCACCTTTCTCTTCTTTAAGACCAAACAACATCAGATTCCGACTTCGGTCTCCTTCTGCTACAACATCCTTAATGACATTCTTCAAGATGTTTCTATCCGAATCCAACAAAGGACCTGCTGTTGAGGTTTTTGATTCCTTTACCGCGGCGCTGTATGTCTTTAACTCGGATTTCACAGTATTCTCAACTGATGCTACAACCTCAGATTTCAAGTAATCAAGCTGCTCGTCTTTGGCAGCTAGCAGTTCTTTCTGCAATACAACTATTGTCCCCTGGCTGTAAATTACATCGGAGTGCAATTTCTGGTTATACTTCTCCATCTGATCAATGTACAATGATTGCCTATACATAACTTTTAACGCAGAATTGAGACTCTGAGCCATGACTTCCCTAGTGATTTCTCTTCTACCAATGAAACCCTGAGCTACACACGCGTTAACATGATTTGATTTAACAAGCTGGAGAGTTTTCCGGATCCATTCGGCTCCATCATCTCTCACTTCATCAAGCCACGTATTTCTCAGATTTATACATCACACAACCACGGCACCGGTTAAACAAGCAAGTCTTATCAACGTAATGATAAGTAACTGATAAGCGAGCAACAACGTATTGAAAAGTGTATTTACTGAACTCCAAAGTTAATAATCGAAGTCACTATTGAGATTGGGAGTTAACATATTTTTCCTGGGCGGCGCTCAGCCTGTCATTCCGCCATATATTATCTTCAATGAACAAAAATCCTGAGGTCCCCAGCTAGGTAAAAATTCTTCCATCATAAATATACCGCGGCTGACTTAAATCTACAATTTCAACTTTGTCAAATTTGTGCTACTACTTCTATACCAAATTAAGGAAGAAATTAAACAAACAGCTCATTTCATAATTGTTATAATATCGATAACACAGAATCCATATCACGGGCAACTACCTCTTTAGATCAAATCGTAAATTTTACAAATTCAATTTTGTTGACAGTCGTTTTTATGAAAGCAAGATTTTGAAATCTGAAATCATATAACACTAACAGGTATGAGGTACTTATACATTATTAATACAGGGTCAGGAGCATTCCAGAATTCACTCATCGCATTCCAACATTATTGTAACATTCATCAATATACACTATTATACACCTCTATTGCACAATTATTGCATTCTTCTTTCTGTTAAACTCTGCTTATAAGCTTATACAATATACATCTGTTAAACCGTCAAAATAAAATATCTGCTCTCGTAAATTTGTGATATAAAAATAAAAATCTGACGTCTGGAAATCTAAGATCTGAACTAACATGAGCTGAGAGACGGCCAGGGACTGAAACCGGCTAGATTATTGAACCAAGCACTGTCCAGTCTGGAGCTGCACCATCTCTAATGAGATCTGAATCCAGAATCATAATCTCTGAAAAGACTCAAAAAAATGTCCTTTTTAAAACTCGTCTTCAGAGCACAAGGTTATTGCTTCACCCCTTTGGGCGCCTCTTCCTTCTAGGAATAACGCCTCTACCTTCTATTTCTTGGTAGAGCACCCCTACTTCTCACAGCACCCCTGGTTTTTCTCATCCTTGACATGTCCCGATCTCTTTTTATCTGTTTTAACTGACCCCACAGAATATTACTGATGCTCTTAGACCAGGACTCTGCATCGTCAGGACTTGCTGAATACATCGTCAGTGTCATCTGAAAATTTGGGTATTTTAAATACCAAGTACATTTATGAAGAGAAAAAACAATTACTTATATTCTCAATCTTTAATTTCAATCCAAATTTTCACAAACTGTAGCATTCCAAATCTTAACTAATGGATGTACATGAACACATCCACATTATATATTTACAGCGAACCAACTGACTGAGCATTTAGCCGGATAACCCGGTTTCTCCCCACAACCCGTACCTCTGGAGTCCAGATGTGACACTTGTTAGGTTCCTCTGAGATATAAGGGGTGAGTCCTATCTCGTGCAGTCCGACCACGTGTTTAGTGCGGTACTTCAGCTCCGTGTCTTCTGAGCTGGTTACTTCTGGGGGAGAGTCGGGGTTATCGTGACGTTGCAGCGAGGTGACAAGCATTGTCTATTTTTACAGTCAACAAGCAACACGGCTCGTTAGTTTGGACTAAATCACTCATGTCACACAGCCAATATTCACGATCACACGTGCAATATTCCCCATCACACACAAGCCCAAATCATTTGTTCTCCTCCGCCCAAGCTGTTCGTAGTCCTCAGCTGTTACCGAAGACCATACCTTTTGCCATCCTAAACAAAAACAGAGGCGAGAAATGACAAGGTCATCCTTTACTGCATGTCTTGTGTTTGTTTTGATAGAAGCTAATGACCAGTCGATCATTTTTTCGCCTCGAGTAGAATATTTCTTCTACAAGATCATGAGTTGTAAGCGGGCTGTGATTTTAAAATAAGTCATTAGGTGACGCGGTTCTCTCCTGCTCTATTACTTTTACAGTTAACGCTGATCTATTTTACTTTTTTATGACCCCTTATATAAAAGAACCTGACGATGGGAATCGGGAATGGATCTTTTAATACCATATTCATTATTCATTTATCCGGGATTTTCAAATAGTTAGTTTGGACTAAATCATTCATGTCACGTGCAATATTCAAGTCACACGTGCAATATTCACGATCACACGTGCAAGATTCCCCATCACCTACAAGCCCAAACCATTTTTCCTCCTCCACCCAAGCCGTGCGTAGTCCTCAGCCATAACCAAAGACCATACCTTTTCCCTTTAAGCTAACGACCTGTCGATCATTTTTTCGCCTCGAGTAGAAAATATTCGATTTTTAGGTTTTAATTATCTATTTTATGAACGATGTTAAACCTTTAATCTTCATTTAAGGACAAGATCATGAGTTGTAAGCGGGCTGTGATTTTAAAATGAGTCATTAGGTGACGCGGTTCTCTTCTGCTCTATTACTTTTACAGTTAACGCTGATCTATTTTACTTTTTTATGACCCCTTACGTAAAAGAACCTGACGATGGGAATTGGGAATGGATCTTTTAATACCATATTAATTATCCATTTATCGGGTTTTTTAAATAGAACCTTCGGCGAGCCCCTGTATAATTCACTATTCTAGTCGTAGCTTGAAGTCAACAATTTTCAAGTTTTTTCTTCATTTCATCAAGATCAACAGACAATTTCTTCCGGTTTATCATTTAATTGTCGATAACTAAGGGTCTATATATACTCGGACTGGAAGTCAAATGGCCCAAAATATCGTATTTGGAAGAAGTTGTTGTGTTATCAGTTGTATAAATTTAAATTCTTGTCTGATGTAGATACGCGATGTAGATAAGTTCGACTTTGTGATCTCGTGATGTTATCTGTACTACTGATACTGACTCTCTTCTCCCTGATTAACTGCGGGGAGTCAGGTTAGTACCCGTTATAATAGTTGTTAAACAGTTCTTACTTACATCTATTACAGAACGAACTATAAGAGTTAGTCACAACAGCGATATCGGATAGAGGAGGTGTCACAACAAATAAATTAACTCTCAAATCAACTGCACTTTTAGATTAACTACTTGATTACAACTAATATAGGATTATCCTAACACCTAATTACAGGGGAAGTAACTCTGAGAGCTACTTGTGACAATACCTTGGAAGTTTATCTTGATGGAGTTCAACAACAAGACGGTAAACTTGGAAACTGGGGACAAATTTCAACATTCCGACATCAAAAGGATTGAGCGTAATAGCATTGAAATGCATCGACGTTGGTGGCCAGTATGGAATATTAGCATCACTACAGAATGAGGGAGGAGAGACAATCTTCTTGACAGACACCAACTGGAAATGCTCATCGGTCCAGGAAGAAGGATGGAAGCTGCCAGGATTTGAAGGTAGTTCAGATAAGTGGCAGAGTGCTTCTAAGATAGCTGACCACGGTGTCACTCCCTGGAGGTATATAGCTGCAATATCACCTAATGCAGACTGGATCTGGGCAGTCGGAGCTGGAGAGAGGTCCACAGTTTACTGTCGCGGAGTCGTTAAAGGTACATTTTTGAAATTTTAGACAGAATTTGGAGCTTTGATACTTGTCTCTGTAAATAAAAGTGCTAACGAATTAATGGCATATTCATTTAATACGTTTTTAGTTCAGTTACAGTATACTGTTTTTAAGCTCCAGTTGCGGGAGCATGGAGCGCTTGGGAGAACTGGTCTGAGTGCTTGAAAGATTGTGGGACAGGAACACAGACCGGAACTAGAACCTGCACAAACCCTACTCCTGAATACGGTGGAAAAGAATGTGAGGGAGATAGCACTGAGACTCGGGAATGCAACACACAAGAATGTCCGGTGAATGGTGGATGGACTGATTTCGGTGGTTGGTCTGAGTGCTCGAAAGATTGTGGGACAGGAACACAGACCCGAACTAGAACCTGCACAAACCCTACTCCTGAACACGGAGGTAAAGAATGTGAGGGAGATAGCACTCAGGCTCAAGAATGCAACACACAAATATGTCCGGTGAATGGTGGATGGACTGATTTCGGTGGTTGGTCTAAGTGCTCGAAAGATTGTGGGACAGGAACACAGACCCGAACTAGATCCTGCACAAACCCTACTCCTGAACACGGTGGAAAAGAATGTGAGGGAGATAGCACTGAGACTCAAGAATGCAACACACAAATATGTCCGGTGAATGGTGGATGGACTGATTTCGGTGGTTGGTCTAAGTGCTCGAAAAAGTGTGGGACAGGAACACAGACCGGAACTAGATCCTGCACAAACCCTACTCCTGAACACGGAGGAAAAGATTGTGAGGGATTACATACTGGAACCCAAAGCTGCAACACACAACACTGTCCGAGTAAGATTCCTTGCTGTTTTAATACTACGATTAGAAGATTAGATAATTAGATACTAGTTTATTAACTTATTAAAGTGTGACGATAGAATTATATTATTACTGTGGAATAATAGTGAAATATCGGGATATATTTCACTATTATAGCCAACACAATGTTATATTATAGCCAACACAATACTTTTACTAATTATATTGTGGTTCGCTTGAGAAATGTGTTCATTAAACTTCAGATTATAATACTCATCTACTTTCACCTACTTTCAGCAAAAGTCTCACTTCTCAGATTAAGATCGGGTCCACTTAAACACTAACCTCACTAACCTCACTAACCTCACTAACCTCACTTCTTCACACTAATTTAGAAATTAAACACTCAGAGTTGAGTAACTTTGTAAGTCAGCTGTTACTAACGGAGAAAAGGAGCACCAGAATATAGAAGGTAAGAATTCTACTGTATGTTTAGAAAGGAATTTAGTTGATTTTAGCCGAAAACGCATCACTGTTAATTAAACGCTAATCGGTGGTTTATGTAATATCTCGTAAGAAGTCTGTTACATTCAGAAGAATGTACCTATGTACTTTACCTACAAGTAACTATCATCACAGCATAAATATATGGGAAATATACAAAAAAACAGGATACAGAATATAATATAGCTTTGACTGATGTGGTTTCTTGCTGGCCAATAAAAGACTTGAGTAGTGAGCACGCACGTAGTTCAGCAACTATTCTTGCTCTTACTTTCTACGTGTACTGAACACGTCAGAGTGGAGTTATTCCACGAAAGTCTACCAAGGATATTGGTTTTGCATTACTTTCTCAGATCAGTTGTTGCTCTGTTACAGGTCTTATATTAGGGGTATTCTGTTTGCTAGTCATATTCGTAAAGCACTACTTGGGACTTGTCGATTGTGATCCATGATGATATAAACTCACATATACTACATGTCTATTGTCTACGTCTACCTGTGCAGTTTACAGTATCCTCTTGTAGTCTTTAATCTTTCCTTCGGAATTTTTAGAACATTCCATAACAACAGGTAGTCTTAATTATTCTCATCAAGTTCTCTTGAATTCACAGAAGCGTCATAATGCCGAACTAAAGTTAGTAGACAACAATGTTTTTCTACTAAAACTTATCACTCATGAGGCACCCTGAATAACGAAACGACGCACTAAACATTTACTCGACGTCATGGCTTCAAAACTTTTCCTAAACTTTGAAATAGTAAACAATGCTGCTGGAACATGTTATACGCTAACAAATGAAAATTTGAGTCAGCTCAGTTATTAGAGCGGACTATGGGATGGTATTTGTTTCTGGCGCCGATCATTTTCTCTCTTACTTGTTGCAGCTTGACAAGATATGTTTAAAAATTTTCAGCTTTTCTCTGTTGATCATTAACGAGCCTCAAATTTGCATCATTTTACAATCATTTGATTTTGATTAATTATGAATGCTATATAGTTTTCTGGGTTGTTTTCATACTGTGTAAGATTCCTATCAGCTGAAATATCCCGACATTTCGATTTGATAATTTGTGCTTAGATTATTTACTTTAATGGGAAGTCTTTAGCCAAACTTTGATTTCTGAAAACCAAAGCGTACATTTTAAAGACAGTCTCAGTGACACTGTCTTTAAAACCGTATCACGGTTATGCAACTCATAATCTTGTAGAATTCCAAGTGAAGTGGTACAAATAAGTGATGTTAGTTCTCCCGATACTGACCCTCCTTTTTGTGATTACCTCTGTAAGCGGCACAGGTCAGTCAACTTCCTGTTCTACATTGTAGAATCCTATTTTCTAACAATCTATGATTCGAACTCCGAGAATGTTTGACTTATGTCGGGCAGGCTGATTGGAAACAACGCTAGATAGTTGCATTTCAGATCCCAACAATGATGAAGGGTATTTGAGAGAGTTGGCTACAAAGGAGGATATGACTATGCAGGACGAAGTATGTGGTCTGATAAGACTGATGGACAGCGCCCTGTGTGTTAGTGTAGCGGAGGATAACCAGAACCTAATCCTGACCTCTGACTGCGAGAAGGATAGGAAGATCTTCTGTTATAACTCAAAGAGCAGGTTCATTAATCTTCAGGGTAATGAACACAACTGTGTAACTAAAGAGTCAAACATGCTACGTCTCATTCCTTGCAGCAGCGAAGAAAGCACACTGACGCGGACGTGGGTATTTACAATTGATGGTAAAATCAAGAAAGAGCCAACCACGAATAATATTTGCTGGAATCAGGACAACTCTAATGAAGGCACTATTTTGGTGGATGATGATTGTGACGAAAAGTTCGATTTCCAACTTACTAGGGACCCAGGTAACTGTTCACATGATTTATGGAATTCTTGGCAAGACTGATAATATGATAACTTCAGTTAAACTTAACATTCATCTCACACATTGCAGGTCCTATCTTACATTTGGTTTCTGCAACTCAAAGCAGCACCGGACATGATGGTACTCCTGAGAGGGCAATTGACGGACACACTAATGGTTACTACTATAAGTGAGTTCATACTGGAGACAGAATCGTACCGTTACGTTTAATGAAAAAATCGAAATTGAAGAAAATACTGACAATTAGTTTATTGTTATAAAATATAAGTAGCAAGAAAATAAAATCTTCAGAGATTCCTGCACGCACACGGAAATGCAAGCAGAAAACTGGTGGAAGGGGATCCTGGCTCATAAATCTGCTGTTACCAAAGTGGTTATCTATAACAGGGACTTAAATGATTGCAGCTGTTCGGAAAGGCTTGACGGTGCCAAGGTAAAGATTTCGAAAGTTGTTGCAGACTAGTACAGTCCATAGTTTCAGCTGTGTATTTTTTCTCAGTATATCATTATCCTTACGAATGTTCTGATTTTGATATTTTTTATAATTTTATCCCACAGGTATACGTAGACGATGTCCTCTGCGGAGTTGTTAACTACACGGATATCAAGAACGTCTATGATATTGAATGCAGAGGTGCGGTTGGAGCAGTGTTAAAGTTGCACTCAACAATCAGTTTCTGACACTTTGTGAGGTTCAAGTGTTCGGTAAGGCTACTTCTTCTCACCATGTAACTAAAATCTACATTTGACCGAACAGATTGAAGACATGGTAGCTTTAGTGCAGATCGCGAAACTTATTCGACAGATTATCACTCTCAATATCACAACTCCATCCTACTACCCTAAAAATTAACAATCTGTTTAAAGCTATAACTTCACAGGTAAAAGCGAGGACCAAGCGATCAACCTCAACATAGATGAAATAGTCGTCAAGATTCGACGCAAAGCTGACTTTAACAACAAACAGGGGAAGAAAGGTCATCGGTTTCAAGTGGTTCTCAACTTCTTCTCTGGTGATAAAGATAGGAGTATAGGACAAGTGAATGTGCAACTGAGAAACATAAGCTCTGAAGATCAGAGGATAACAGTCGTTAACTGGGATGAGAATGAATCAACTATGTGCTCGGAGACAGGGACGTCGGAGACAAGGACGGTACTGAAGAAACTCCACACTGGCCAAGCGGACTTGATCCTAACTTCAAATTTTCCCGGCAACTTGAGGATAAAACTAGGCGAGCTTGATGAGACTGTGGAATGTGATGCTGGGTTTCTGGACAGAACGGATAGAATGGTCGTACAGTGGATAAATCTAGCTAACAAGGATAGAAACTCTGCGGATAACCTCTTCACTGTTCAATACGAAGTGAGAAGTTGGGTTAAGCCTAGTAAGTAAACAGCAGACAGTGTCGTTCACTGAGCACACTCGACAAGTTTTAATTTGTTTTAATATATTTACATTATTTGTTCGAGATATATCACAAAATATAGGGGAATATTTTGTGATGTATTCTCTGCATTTACCGATTTTTCTTACTTTACTAACCTATATCCTAATGATTTATTCGCATGATTATTTAAATGGTAAGAATACATATTCGAATACTGTTTAATCATAATTTTACATTTAGAGTAGGAACAGCATATAATCATGTTCTAAATTATGACTAACAATTTTTATCCCCACACTTCAACTTTCAAACCCATTAATTTAGTCATGATCTATATTTTCCAAGCTGAACACAGCTTGTAACAACCCTTAAGTTACCTTTTGAGAAGACAATGAGGTTCTCGAAGAGGAATACTCGTCTGACCCTCTTCTGTTTGTTATTAACTGACACGTGGAAATCACTTTGTCTCAGTAACTCTCCTGTGGGTGAGGGTGAGTCAAATTGTTAGGTGAGTTAACAAAATGAAGCATTAAAATCTGCTTGCTTGTTTCTTTTTTAACCAGCTCAGTTCCAAATTTCACTATCAACAATTGAGATCTCCGAAATTGATTTCCAAATTTATTAGTTTAATTAATTAATTAATTAATTATCCTCTAATCACTGACCAGTTGCCTCGTGAGAAACGTCAGGAGGTAGATCTAAAGCTTGGAGATGACAGAGATCGTTACTTGTGGTGAGAATGTTCGTCACTAGAGTTTGGGCGTCGGTTACTTCTTCTAGCACTTCAAAATCCTGGGTATGGCTAGTTTAACTCAATCTTATCGTGAATACCGATTGTATGATATTGATTTAAATTCAGTGTAAAAAAGTTTGACGTAACATCTCATAAAAACTAGACATTTACAGCTGTGACGAGGATCAGGTGAACACGTGATACGTATGAGAGGAGTGAGATAGAGAAGTACTGTGAGAGGAGTCACGAGGATGAGGAGTGAGACGAACTGGAGCACAAGTGGTTGTAGTGTGTAGATGGCGGATGGTGGGTTGTGATTCTACTGATAAAGGTTGTGGGTATGAGAGGTAGTAGAGGTACTTATAATTATAGTTCTGAGGTGATATACAGCCTTATTGTGCGTCAAATATATCTAATTCTATAATCATCAATACGATAAATTCAACTGAATCACTAGTAAAACAACTATAATTTTCAGGACAAGAAGCACAGTAGACGAGTGACACATACCTCAGTGCCAGCCAGCATGATGTCGAGGAACTGCTTATATTTTACCATCCTCTGGGTAGGTTTTATTATTAACGCTGTTAAACCGAGCTTATCGTCCAGTTTCCTCTCCAACTCTGAGATTACTCCTTCCTGTAATATGTCACGTGTCACATCACGTGTTAAATAATTGGTTAACTGTTGAACTTTTAACCCTATGTCTTTACCCTATATATTGATGATGAAATCCTCAGGTTTTGACAAAGCCCCATACTACATAGTACGGCAATGCGACAAATGAGATTGCTGCTGAACTCCTTACACAGCTGACAAGGTACAAATATCTAAATTCAGTATAACTCAAATGAGCACGTGACATAAAGTAATGTTATCAGTAATAATACTTAATGTCTACTTACGTGATGTTGCTCTACTATCGTGTGCGCGCGTCTCTCGTGAACCATAAAAGATAAATACACTTCTAGCTCTTGTTCGTGCCTGAGAAATATGTGAAATATGCGGATATGTGAAATATGCGGATATGGTACGTGAAATATGTTGATATCATGTAACATGCCATGACAAAAATAATGATTTACACGAAACTAAAGTCCGCAATAGATAGTATCCTAATTTAGTTTTCTTACAGTTATTTCTAATCTAACTCTTCAGATACCTGATAAAAGTGGTAGCAATATCCTTGAGGGGCGACTGCGAAGTTCCTGCTGTAATCAGAGAGTCTTTGAAGGTCTGGAAGTGAAAACTGTATATCTGTCCGAAGTACTGGAAGATCTGAAATTGACTGACGTTTAGATCTGGATAATATTGAAATGAACATTTTATTGTTTTTAAGTTACTAACACTTCTTGTAAAGTTGGTATTTTATGATGCACGATTTAACGTGAGAATTTTTATTGTAGAACATTTTGAGAATCGTATTTTGATAGTATTTTTCCGGGTGACACTTTTTTTGAAAGAATAAATTAATTTGAAAGAATAAATCAAGAACATCACATTTTGGAAGCTTTTTTACTTTCAATTTCCAAATATTGTCTATTTCCTTCTTAAAACTGATTGATGGCTCAGTGAAGCTAAAAGAAAAGTAAGAAATCTGCCATCTTAAACTGAACTTACACTCTCAGCGAGCACGTTGATTTCAGGGTCCGGGTTCTGTATCAGTGGGTCCATGTAACCCTCAACTGTGTGCTTCAAGTCCTCTACATATTTCTCCTCCGTCGTCAGCATCTCTTGTATCACATACCGCAGCTGTGAAATATTTACATTCAATGTACAAGTAATGTACTCAAAATAATTTTGAGTCAAGTAATTTTCCTTCGCAGATTTTAACTAAATTCTTAATCGTGTTAATAATCAAGTGTTCTAACTTACCTTCTTAGGTATGGAGTCCTGTACAACGAACTTGTCTTGACCAGGTCTCTCTGAAATGGGGGTAGGAAGTTGTTCTGTAGGGAATATGTAGCTAGATGTGGACCAGTCCTGTTCCACGTCCTCGTGATCCGTTAACTCTTCTTCCTCGGAGTCCGTTGCTCTTACTCTTTCACTTTCTCTTTCACTTCCTCTTTCACTTCCTCTTTCACTTTCTTCCCCTTCTATCTGTGAGTTACAAAAAGTTGATGAAAGGTGTTACAAGGACATATCGCCAAATTTTTATTTGTGTTGTTTTAATCAACTAAACTTGTTTATTCAAATTTGTGGTAATTGTAGTTATAAAAGCCAGTTAAGATTTTACTGGTTTTAAAGAACTTACCGATTTAGTGGAAATGCTTGCGGAGGACATGATAAGTTTCTCTTGTTCGGCACAAGTACATCTCTCATCTTCTACAACAACTTCTTCTTGTCTTATCGTCCCTTCTACTTTATTCTTCCTCACGTCATCCTTGCTCTTTGTCCTCCTCACGTCGTCTTTACTCCTCGTCTTCCTTAAATCTTCCTTACTTTTCCTTACGTCTTCTTTACTTTTTCTGATATCTTCTTTGCTCCGATAAACGCGCTTTGCTGGTTTTATAGCTGCGATAGAAAGAATCAATAGAATAATCAGTCAAAAGGGAGATAATAAGATCAAAGAGAACATATTAACTATAAATAATAATTTTGAGGTGAGATTAAGTAATCAGAAGTCAGGCTACACGGATCACATGACATTTGACAACCATGTATTTAATTAAAGGCCATAATTGGTTGTCTTGGCATGATAGCGGGGTAGCCGCTCCTTATTCTCCTATAACCCACCCTTAGCAGCCTCTTCTTCCTTACTCTTCTGAATCTTAGCAACCCTGAGTTGGTGGGTTTTGTTCTTGATGTAAGAAACATCCTTGAAGTTCATGTGAGGTTCGGATCTTGAGGCAAGGTTGTAAACCGGGCGTTTCAGTTTCCGTTTGTTAGTGGCCGCTGAGTGTTCTTTGGGTGCTGAAAATGTGCTTTGAGTGCGGGCTGATTTGAGGCTTAAAGAGGGTAGTTTGCAGTCACTCAAATAAACACATTACAATTACAAACACATGGTAAGATCCCACAAATGTGTAGATGTGAGTTAGTTACCTGAGTCTGTCTCAATAAGATGATCGTCAGATGTTTGCGTCTCCTGACTGATATTAGACTGAGTCAAGGAGCCCGACATCAGAGTCTCTGTCACATCCGTCTGACTCTGAGGAACAGGTGGTAAGCGTTTCAAACGAACATTTTAAACAAGAGTCGAAGATAGAAGGTCAAGAAATTCTTCACAAAACTTTCACTCCTAAATAATTTTTTAGAGAATTCACAAAACGTATTCAAAAAAGGGAAGTTCTCCAAATCTTTTATTTTAGCTAAACTAACAGGAGTGTTAAGGAACATAGTTTCAAAGAGCAGAGTCTGAGAGCACTCCTCGTGGAGGAATATTAGGTTTTCAGTATCTGTTGCTATGGAGTCTACTTCAATTAGCTCCATCGTGTCCACGCTGATATCCTCTTCCGAACGAACTGTTTGTACTTCCATCTGGAGAGAAGAGAAGTTACAATTGTTTAAAATCCACACTAAGAAAGTTTTGAATTTTAATCATGAGTTATTTTAAACAACGAATAATTCTAGAGTCGTATTTTGATTATGATAATAATTCTTAAATGTGACGTTTAAACATTCCATGACATTGCATACGCAATAAGCATGTCTGAAAGACGAAGTAACTCTAATAGTCAAAACATTGAGAAGCTAGAGACTCACCTGTTTAAAGCGTTTGTTGACAGTATTACTGGATTTATTGAACATTTTAGTGATAGCAGCAGCAGTACTCTGAGTTCTCATCTGTATAATTGCACTCACACTCTTATGATGCCCCGACTTGATATCAGCCTCAACTTCCTTGTGGTTATTGTCCTTGATATCAGCTGAAGTCTCCTTGTCCTCACTAGGTCTGATATCTGCTTCTACTGACTGATCAGAGAGTTCTGGAGAAACACTAACACCAACTTCACTAGAACCTGTTTCTGTTTGTGAGAACTGGGAGGCAAAGTGCTGTGTATCAGTCTGAACTGAAGCGGGGAACAGACCTATCATGTCGGTCTGTGCGGAACACTCAGATGAGTCTGAGTCGAACTGAGATTCTGAGGAGGTCGTCTCAGGACGATGGGTCTGTGAGCTGGTCTGAGAGAAAGTGAGGGTGTGTTGGGTGGCGGAGTCTTGGTGAACAGGACAGTTTTGCACCCCCATCTCTGTACCAGGACTACGATGCTGCATTGCAGTGGAGACAGCAGTGGAGACGTGCTGTGAGGGAACATGTCTGACTGAGAGGTGAGGAGTTTGGGAGTGTTGAGCTATCTGATTCAGGGGGTCACTCTGAGACGAGGAGGTCACGTGAACAATACCTGTATCCGTGCTCACGTGCGAGGAATCTGGTTTTACTTGTGTCGCTGAACAGATGCTTTCTGTTTCGTGCTGAGTTCCTACACTTTCAGTTTCACTTTCGGTTTCAGTTTGGGAGGACGAGTCAGATAACGGGTCTGAGGCTGATTCTCCAGTCTGAGTTTCTCCGTCGACCTTGAGATCGTGCTGAATCTGACACTCAATATCTATCAACAACCTCTCAATCTCAGCGAGTCTATCATTAAACAAATCATCTGAAGAATGAGCTAATAGCCCAGGAGAAAGTGGACTAGCCATCTGACCTCTGGAACTGCTTCTTGAAGTGGGGGTGGAGAAACCACTGAATCTAGACCTCCCTTCTGGAGAGTCAAACTCTGGTTGAGATTGAGGAGAGAGCAGAAGGGAAGGTGACATGACCACAGGTGACATGCCACCATTCGATGGTGTTGTTGAACCAGGTGATATTACACTGGAAGAGGTGAGAGTGGGAGGGGTGAGGATGGTGTCAGGTCTCCTCGTCTGCTCGGTTGGAGGACGACTCCCGAATCCGCTGTCTTGAAGTGAGGTGTTTTGGAGGTCTAGTAACAAGTCCGAACTGTTCTTTCTGCTCAGTTTGGGATGCTCGTAAAACGTGTCGTATAACGAGGAGAATCTGAAAATTACTTTTGTTACAGTGTTGTCAAATAAAACTGACCCCTAAAATATGCGGGTTGATGAAATTGTTTCTATTTTTAAAATATATTCAAAATAATATGCAGCAAGCAACAAATATATTGAAATAAACTAGTAAACACAAACCTGATTCGTTTTAAACAGTTCTCAATGATGTTTAGTCTCCTGAGTATAAGTCTCAGTTGTTCGTTTATATTTGCATTATTTGGGATATTTTTTGATCTGTCCTGCAAGTTGAGTCTCTGTTCTATGAGACTAATTCTGGAGGAGAGGTTTCTCAATCTATCAGAACTACAAACACAAGCTAGATCTGTTTGTACTCCAGAGTTACGAATACACCCAAACACGTCGATAAGGTCGAACTGGGTCCCTTGTGTGTACTGTAACACTTTGTCGGGATTCCTGCGGGGAAGTCAGTGGATTAACTTCCAGATATTAAAAAACTGAACGCCTTAACTGATATGGAGAGAAATAATTACAATAATTTTTGGGGATCAGATGGAGCTTCTACTTAAACGGATCTATTATTTTCCAATAATAGGGATGGCTGGGAAATGGACCAAGATTTTCATATTGTTTTACTTCGTCAAATTCTTACCCACGAGTAAGTCCGGTAAAAGTACTTTTCTCAACATCTAGATCATTGTTGCTTGGCTTTTTCAACAGCAGGGCGTTTTTCAGTTTTCTTAAATACTCTTGTCTTTCAATTATGATCTTCTCGAATAGAGCGAACTTAGTTTTGATCATTTTGACCCGAGATATAACTGGTTTTGTAGCAATCTTCCTGCTATATTGTTCTAGAACATCGTAACCCTGCAAATAAGATTAGTGATACACTCTGATAGGAAGTTGAAACTATTCCGAGTATGTTAACCATGCATGAAAACTGCGGGATTGCGCCGCGCACGCTATGATAGCAATGAATTTATCAAACTTTTCATGATGCGCGTTCCAAGATCAGTATAAGTTCAAAAACATTTGCCACTTAGGGGCACGAGGTGTTTGTATTCGGTTTGGTGCTTCGATTCAGCGCATAAGAAGTACAATTTAACTTTGGAAATGAAATATGCTATATTTCAACTTGATGGCCTCATGAGAATTTAAAACATGCTGATAAGAAGTATGCAAGAGTTTGTACCACACACAAATAACAAGATAAGAATTTCTAGTTATGTACCTCGATGGGACATCTCGTCAAATGTCTGTCCAGTTCCCTTTCCAAATCACAGATCCCATCCAACGTATTACATCTCTGTACTGGTTGAGCTGTGAACTTCTGTAATCCCGAGAAGAACCATGACATGCACTGAAATAGAGACATCTTAAAGAGACAGGGACATGTTAAAGAGACAGGGACATGTTTCATGTCATGCTTATTGTTGACTAATCTATAAACCGATTATTCCTTATTTGGAAACTGATGAGCGGCCGATTATATTGACTGAAACAGTTTCGGATTAAGTGGCAAGTGATTAGATCGCTGTGGTAACCTGATATACATGTTGAACTTGGTATACACAACAGAAGATTATATGTTCCCTATGTTTAACTTTTATAATGATTAAATTCCATACTACCGCCCCGATTTGCAGTCGACCGAAAACTTTTAAGTTCCCGAGATAAGATGAAGGTCATATTGTGTTCAATTCAAAACAAACCCCGATTTACCAGGAAAACTTTCCAAATATGCACAAAATAGTCTTGGAAAATCAGGATTATTTTGTCTTTACTGACATACAATTTTGTCTTCATTGGCAACATTATTATTACCGAACCGTAATTCAACGAAATAAAATGAATCTCAAGCTATTACCACACCTCTTCGACTAGTTGGTGAAAAGATAGTATTTCATCAAATTTCTCTTTCTTTTTACTCTTCGTTTCCGTCAGAGTTTCTAAAGCTTTTTTCAGAACTTTTACATCCTTCTCCGCATCTTTTATTTTGTTACTGTCTTCAACGTCACTCAGCCCCTCAGTTATACATCTCTTTGCACTTATCTCTGCCGTCTGAAGTATGAGAAATTGTAAAACTCAGTACACATATTATCATAGAAATTAGGAAGGTGTAATTACAAAGTTTACACCGTGACCACTGACCAGAGAGGAACACTAACCTTTGCCAATCAACATGGAAAACCGGCCTATCAAAACGTTTAACATGTGTGCAGAATGTATAGAATGTATAGAATGTGCAGATTGTGCAGAATGTGCAGAATGTACAGAATGTGTAGAATGTACAGATTGTGTAGAATGTGCAGAATGTGTCGAATGTATACTTTGTATAGAATGTGCAGAATGTGCAGAATGTATAGAATGTGCAGAATGTATAGAATGTATACTTTGTATAGAATGTGCAGAATGTATAGAATGTGCAGAATGTGCAGAATGTATAGAATGTGCAGAATGTGCATTGTGCAGAAATGTACCTGTGCGGAGAGGAGTAATTTATCAAGAGTAGTTTGTTTACTTTGTACAGTAGTGACGTCATACAAGCCCTCCTCCGATAAATCAGATATTTGGTTTGTTAACTGGTGTACTTCTTGTAGCAACTAAAATAGTTGGGTTAGTTCAACATAGTTCAACATAGTTCAACATAGTTCAACATAGTTTGACATAGTCCAACATAGTTCAAAATAGTTCAACATGGTTCAACATAGTTCAACATGGTTCAACATGGTTCAACATAGTTCAACATAGTTCAACATAGTTTAACATAGTTCAACATGGTTCAACATGGTTCAACATAGTTCAACATGGTTCAACATAGTTCAACATAGTTTAACATAGTTTAACATAGTTCAACAATGTTCAACAAGAGCTATTATAGTTCTAGGATAACACAGATCAAATAGTTGTTAAACAGTCACCATTAATTGGTAAAAATTTAACATGTTCAACTATCAACACAGGTATCGTGCCTTAAATTAAAGCTACTCTCACAATATTTACCTGATCAGTATTGCGTTTGAACTTGGTGTAAAGCGCCATACTATGCGCACGGCTCTGTCCCTTCTCTGCGAGCGCGTCTACCTTACTCTGGAGAGTGTCAAGTTGTGCTAGCGCGTCTGATATACTGGTTAGCGTGTCCTTCATGTCTGGGTAGTCTCCTGCTGCTGCACTGTACCGCTCTATCAACCTGAGGGGTTGTATTCAGACATCTGGCACTTTCTGTTGAGCTCCCAGCGGTGAGCAGTGTTTTCGAGTAAAGTTATTGCAGTAAAGCCCCGATTTACCGCCAACTTAAATTTATCGCGGCTTTTTCCTTTCCCCAAACTCCGTGGTAAATCTGGGTTTAACTGTGTAAGAAAAGTAATGTCAAACCCACAAATAACCAACCTCATACATATCACATATTAATAAATATATTTTGTTGATTACAATAATCATTTTACTGTAACTTTATTCTATTTCAGTATTATTATGTAATGAAGGAATTGTTTCAATTCTAAATGAAAAGCTCGAATAACTCAAACGCAGTGTCTGGCAACATAACATGTAATAGTGACGTCACAATACATAACATGTGATAGTGACGTCACAATATTTCCTCTCCTAAACATGATTCATGATCATAAGTTTAATCATGCAATCCGTTGCGCTGCATATGTTTACTTTAAAGTGCATTATATATAATGCATAAACAGAACATGGTAACATATAGGTAACAACTTGGTTACAACATAGTGACACCTTGGTAACACCCTGGTTACACCCTGGTAACACCTTGGTAACACCTTGGTAACATCCTGGTAACACCTTGGTAATATCCTGGTAACACCTTGGTAACACCTTGGTAACACCTTGGTAACACCCTGGTAACACCCTGGTAACACCTTGGTAACACATCAGTAACTTACAAGTGACCCTCGTCCAAGAGCGACTGTATCTTGAGATTTCTCATTGTAGCTGCAGCTAGGTCCCTGTACTTCTCTAATACTACATTCACATCGCACGTGTCTATAATTACACTCTCGACATCTATCAGGGGGCGCACTGAAACAAGTATCTATCAGGGGGCGCACTGAAACAAGTATCTATCAGGGGGCGCACTGAAACAGGTATCTATCAGGGGGCGCACTGAAACAAGTATCTATCAGGGGGCGCACTGAAACAAGTATCTATCAGGGGGCGCACTGAAACAGGTATCTATCAGGGGACGCACTGAAACAGGTATCTATCAGGGGGCGCACTGAAACAAGTATCTATCAGGGGGCGCACTGAAACAAGTATCTATCAGGGGGCGCACTGAAACAAGTATTTATCAGGGGGCGCACTGAAACAGGTATTTATCAGGGGGCGCACTGAAACAAGTATTTATCAGGGGGCGCACTGAAACAAGTATTTATCAGGGGGCGCACTGAAACAAGTATTTATCAGGGGGCGCACTGAAACAAGTATCTATCAGGGGGCGCACTGAAACAAGTATTTATCAGGGGGCGCACTGAAACAAGTATTTATCAGGGGGCGCACTGAAACAAGTATTTATCAGGGGGCGCACTGAAACAAGTATCTATCAGGGGGCGCACTGAAACAAGTATCTATCAGGGGGCGCACTGAAACAAGTATTTATCAGGGGGCGCACTGAAACAAGTATTTATCAGGGGGCGCACTGAAACAAGTATTTATCAGGGGGCGCACTGAAACAAGTATCTATCAGGGGGCGCACTGAAACAAGTATCTATCAGGGGGCGCACTGAAACAAGTATCTATCAGGGGGCGCACTGAAACAAGTATTTATCAGGGGGCGCACTGAAACAAGTATCTATCAGGGGGCGCACTGAAACAAGTATTTATCAGGGGGCGCACTGAAACAAGTATCTATCAGGGGGCGCACTGAAACAAGTATCTATCAGGGGGCGCACTGAAACAAGTATTTATCAGGGGGCGCACTGAAACAAGTATCTATCAGCTGATTTTCGCTCAAGACGGAGTATATAGTTGTAAAAGGGGTTTTAAAATAAAACTATAAATATTTAATGTTACTAAAACTAAAATAACTATAAAGATCATTAAGAACGATTATATTGAATTGTGATTCACCCTCTAGCGATAACACAAAATTAAATTACCTGCAGCTTTCTGGTAACGGGAATTCCCCTAAGTTTTGAAAGTTCAGCAAAATATATTCCAGCTGAACAGAAGTATAGTGAGAACTCCAAATAGTGAGAAGTCTCCAATTTAATCTCACAAATAAGATTATAAGTAAAACTTATCCTACCTAAGTCCTCGAGTCTTTTCCCCATGGACTTACAATCCGATAGGAAGGGTTCAACATTCTGAGGAATTAAACTGTTTGAGGAATACAACCGGTAAAACACGTATAAATTTACAGAAACTGACGAATATACAGAGACTGAAATACATCGAACGGATATGAATACTTCAGAATAGGTCCATAGCATGCAGTAACATTATAATATTCTAATACGTTGTTTTTATAAGCGAGTGTGCCGGCTAATTCTCTACGCGTTAATGATTAATACTGGTGACATGTAGGTTGAAAAGCAAATCTGTAAAATATGTGAAATGTATGAAAATATCCAAAGTGAGCAATTTGTTGTTCATTAATAAGGATGTTATCCTTTTTAGGCAAGGGTTTTATAAAATTTATAACATTAACTTGTTCATGGTTCGAACGCTTTAACCAGTATTAAATATTCTCAATATCAGGGAATATCGTTTTATTGATAAAGACTTTGCTTTATTGTATAATGTATAAAGCTTGGTTTACGTCATATAACTTTTATCCAAACTACTGGACTAGTATACTAGCAGTTTTATAGTAGTTGTATAGTCGGAGATACAGAGAGATGAGCTATTATATAGAGAGATAAGTAATGACTTGCAGAGTCTGCAGCAAGTCCAGGTCGATAATTACACAATAATTATTGGGGTTACCATGACAACCCCACTACTTACTATACCCTCCTATTACAGTATTACACAACCAGTATAAAACTGGTTACTGGTGTCTGTACAATACTAAACACTGGTCAGTAGACTCTACACACTTACAACTCGTACTTCCCGGTAGATCTCTAAATATTATTACAAGCAGAACAGCTTACAACCTAGGTAAAACACTACAGAGTACAGAGGAGCAAATAAGAGAGTGTACTATATCTGGGGAAGTGAGATATTATATATTTGACAGTTTTATTACTAATAATATAAGCGGAGTTTTAGACGCGGGGCACTAGCGAGTGTACGAGTCAACTGGGCAGGAAACGTACATTTTTAATAACTGGATAAAATACTAGAGATAATAATACTAGAGATAAAAATACTAGAGATAAGAATACTAGAGATAAGAATACTAGAGATAAGAAGGTAGAGATAAGGATACTAGAGATAAGAATACTAGAGATAATAATACTAGAGTTAAGAATACTAGAGATAAGAAGGTAGAGTGTGATGGATCTCACTAAATCGGACACCACATGAAATAAATAATACAAGATCAGAACTGTAGTTCTCCGTAGTACAGCTGACATCTCATCAGACAACCTAACAGAGCTGTAATACAAGATAATACAAGCCAGACTTTATATTAATGAATCATGCTTGTCACAGCCTGTGCGTGTGAGTACTAATACTGTCAGCAGCACACAAAACTACAAATTAACTAATACTGATGATTCTACTAATACTGATGATTCTACTGCAGGGGTGCTTATCAGAGACATAGAGGTAAGATGCGAGGTTGGGGGACGCTAAAACAACTAAACCATCTTCAGCAGTCGCGAGAACCGCTGTCAAGTGAGATCTTTAATAGCATCGCGTGATGATAATTACAGCTGAGACAAATTGCAGTGCAATGAAGGATGTAACTGTTTAAATAGCGCAGTTGTAAAAGTGATCATCGCTGATTGTACGCATGTCTTTGATAAAACTCAAGACTCCGCTGTCGTGTTTCTTGTTGGCACTTGGTTTAAATATGGAGACTTAATAACGCAAGCATCTAAATAAATAACAAGTATAAAGCAAGAAGTTATCATTGTGGAACTGCGAATATTATAAATATGACGTAAAATGTAGTCCCACATTCCACAATCCACATCTGGAATAACAAGAAACTAGATAGGATGTCCATTACATCGATAACTTGGTTGCAAGAAGTGACTAAAGCTCAACTTAAGTTCATGTTGTAACCACGGCAACCATCCAAAAGTAGTCCCCTACACGTGCGAACCAATCAGATAACAGGAGTAAACCCATGTGACTTCCAATAACCAATCACAGGGCAGAGTGCTAGGCACGTGACTAACAATTGCAAGAGAAGCAGGCGCAGGTGCAGGGAAACTATTAGTAATTCGATACCATCGGGTACAGGTGTAAGAGTGTTAGAAAATGTTGAAAACAAACACGATTCAAAATTAGAGGACGAGAATTTTATAATCGTTCGCTAGATTGATTGCACTTTAAACGATAATTTGCCAATTTGTCTAAGATCCAATATGAAGCCAAAGAAACTCTAAAAACTTTATTTCCCAGACAATAAATTGCAATTTGTATCAAGGGCCCTCGCTGTGACAGTGACTGCTTGTCATATCAAACACTGTCAATTGTCTGCTAATTAGTTGGCAAGTAAGCACACTTTTACTCACAGCACAAGGGATACAGGCAGCAATGATGGTGTCGGCTTTCAACTGTAAATATTTTACCCCGTTACGTCACCATCTAACACAGCGAGATAACAGGCAACTCGCCTTCGCCTCAACCAATTACTTTCAACTTGAAAACTATTCCAAACTGTAAGCCACAAACAATAAACATTTTTAAAACAAGTTTTCAAGTTGTGATGAACAAAAGAGAAAACAGACAGTGAATATTCAGATGGTGCGCATGGTAGAAACATGTAGGCAGTACTAACGTCACAGAGTTTTAGAGTTAAGTAAAACACGTTATCCACTGTCTTTCATAGCAAGCAATGCTGTAACGTCCTCAACTCTAATTGGAGGTCAGAACCGCACGTGATCTCAAGCTGACAGCTGATTGGTTAGAATTGTGTCTCGATTTTATGTACGACAGCCGCCAATACAATGAAATGCAGTTTAGCAATCTTTCAAATTATTGGCGCAATTTAACAGGGAAGTCTGCAGCCGTCTTACGATACTTGGCAGCGAAATGGGGAGTTGAATAAACGATACTTAATATGGCACCCATGCAATTAATTGGCTAGGTAAGTAGTAAGTAGTAAGCACATAACTGACTAAAAGTTGGCGACTGCAGGAGAACAACTACAACTTTTAATAATCTAAGGACCACTCCAGAATGAACTAATAAATTTAAGTTATTAAAGACTTTAGTAGTGCCGGCATGAAAGTGACCTGACAAAGACTTCGTTATTAAACCACAAAATTGTCAAATGTACCACAACCTCAGCCAATAGCAAAGCAGCAGCCGAACCAGGCAGCCAATCACAACACAGGGACAGTGCGGTGAACCAATGACAAAGCAGGACTAATGGGAGGGTGGCAGGGGCAGCACTCAGTAAAATCAACACATATTCATGTCCCTTAGAAACGAGCATGTAATAATCACTGTAATAGAATTTAGTGGAGTTAAATATAAAGTTCAAAATATGATTATCCTCTAGTAAACCATTGGAGCACTGCTCCTTCATAAATAATAACATTGGTTCCGGTGGTGCAATATTGGGTGTCACCGTGTCACTGGATACGCAACTTCAAGTTCCTGACAACATCACAACTCAGCGGACAGTAAAAAAAAAGATACACTTCTGTAAAAACAAGTTCCTTATTACCTTGTAAAATACACCATGAGAAACTCATGCAAAAACGTACAGGCTCATAATGAACAGAAGTTCGACAAGAACAAGCGAGTGCATTTATAAGATTGGCAAGCACAATCAGTTACCACGACAACCAAGTCCAGACGACCTCTGGATTTATAATGTATTGGATATTTGTGATGCATTAGTATTTCACTAGGCTCTATCATGTCTACCATTCTAGGGTCACGTGAACGTTATCATGAGAATAGTTAAGTGTATTCTGTTATGTAAAGATCTGTAGGTACTTTTTATCTGAGGATCTTCGATCAGTTTGGGGTTTAAAACATATTATCAGGAAGGAAGTGAATTTAACACTTATTGCAAAAAATACGTACTGAACGTGTAAACCTACTGAAGATTAAACCTACCGAAAATCTCTGATGGATTCAAAGAGATTCATAAAGGAATGGTACAAAATCTAATAATCAGGAAAGCAGATGAACGATAAAGTGCAGGGGGGCTTATCTAGCGAGCAATAGACACTGCTGTTGGGTTATAACAACAGTATCTAAGCAGCAAAACGTAAAGCTAACAGGGAGACCACTGACAACAATGGTAAACTGGTCACTGTCATTACAGTTACCATGGTAACAGAGCCAGTATCCGATGACAAATTCATTGCAGCTGATATTAGTGTAATTACCAATCATTTCAAACTTTTAAACAGTGTTATCAGGTAAAGGATAACACGTATAATACTGTATGAGAATTGCACACGCTACATTTATTTGTGAAACCATCAAAGGGAAAACTCTACGATTCAAAAACGGGATGAAAATTTAGTAAATGTCTGAATTACTTTCTGAATTATTCTGAGATCTGAAATCCATAAAATAATACTGTCGAGTGAAAGTTTAACTACATTTTATCGACTGAATGTAGGTTTGGGAAACGTGTTAAGAGTCAGATTTGATTCAGTTAGATTCGGCCCTGTTGTTAATCAACAGAGAAACAACAGCCAAAATCATTAATGAATGTTAAGTGGTAACCACGTGATTGAAGGTTGAACCTGGTTTTGATCTACATTTTTTAGTAACATACTGCAGGTAAATATAGCAACGAGTAACTGCGTAAGCAGGCTGTATGCCTGTTTAATTGATACGAACAGTGGCGTCTAGTGGACAAATACAAATACACCTATTGTCAAACGATACTGGTATTTACTATTTATATTATCCAATACTATGAAAAATCTAACAAATCACTTCACAACAGTGTAGTAGTAACAACTAACACCCAGCACAACAGTATAATAGTAACAACTAACACCCAACAACTCACACAATCCTGTTCACAACTGTGTAATAGTAACAACTAACACCCAGCACAACAGTATAATAGTAACAACTAACACCCAACTAACACCTAACTAACACCCAACTAACACCCAACTAACACCCAACTAACACCCAGCAACTCACACATCTGAATTTGACCCAAGTGTCGTTGTTGTAAGGGACTTGTCCACCAATAACCGAGGGAAGGGAGGAAGCAGGGATTATCTTTAATAACTCTTCAACTGTATTACAATGCACCTGTAAACATGATAATAAGTACATAGTTTCACAAGGTCAAACAATGAAATTCAGATCAAGAGTAATCCCGACAATATTAGAACCATGCCAAGCAAAAATAATTATTCCAAATTAAAATTGAATAGACCCACTCACCTCAATATCAAGGCTGGGGATTATCTTTCTGAAATAAGCTGCAGCATCCTTTTTAGATCTCAGTGCTGTTGTCAGGTGAATGACTGCCAGAGACCCAGGAGAATCAGCCTGAGAAAGTCATCAGATAGTTGGATATTATGAAATTATTGGTGAAGGCATGCCTGAAACCAAAAAACATAAGAATATTAAAAAAACATCTCCTGAAATACGAATGCGATATGAGGGTTATCAAATGCTGATATTGCCATTTCTACCCAGTAATAAGAACCTGAAGTTGTTGCAACAGTTTGTAGATATCAGACAGGCGTTCCCTGTTATCATCAGATGCATCAACAATCACCACGGCTCCTCTGTTCTGTACACTTTTCCTAGGACAGTGTAAGTAAGAATTGGTTAGCTGTCGACTATATATTCAATGTGAATTAAATTGGATCCAAAAAGCAATTAACTTACTTTGGTACTGATAGAAGGTAGTTGCAGACGGAGACTAACTCGTCGTAGGAAGGAAGGGTGTCCTTATCAGGGACAGGAAATATCAATAATGCTCTGTTCTGTTCATCTCTAAGCCCTGGGATAACATATTATGAATAACAAACATTTTTTGTTTAAATTTATTAAATCAAAAATTTCACTTTCAAAAGAATAATTCTAATAATAATAATTTCCCATATGTGTCTAAGCGTCTAACCTGGTAGGATAGCAAAGCTGTAGAGCAACACATCAAGGATTTCATACACTTTTCTGCATTGGCCTTTGCTCATTAAGAGTCCTGCTATAGCATCCTTCCTCACTTCCGAGAGTTAAATCATGTAACCTACTAACATAACAAAATTAATGATCCATAACCCAAGCCCCTTTGCCTCATCAACTGTCAATCCATCTGCAGTATGACTGGTATGAAAAATTATCCTAAATTGCTTGTCTTTGTAAACATTTGAAATGAAATGAATTAATGTGCTTGCATACCGCCCATATGGTTAGCAACTGACAAAAGTGTCAGGTACTAACCATGTCAGAGTGGTTCTAAGGGATGAGGCGAAAATATTCAGCAACAAACAACTAGATCACCTCAAAAAACAAATTTATTCAGAAAATATCACTTTAATCATATCATTATATAGTAATCATAGGAAGTTTTATGGATATACAGTATACACCACACTAGGATTAACAATACACCACCAAAAATAACTTCAGACTGTATCATATAGGAATCTTAGTAAGATGTATTGATATATTACACACTAAAAAATAAAGATACACCACCAATAAAGTCCGATGCAGTGGGCCATCAGTACCAGGAGAAATATGCCTCCACCTAGAGATCCTTGACAAACTTCTATCATTAAGCCCAAGTGGCCAACATAAATGTATGAAATTAGCATAAAATCAATAATTTTATTTTACTGAAGCTTTATAATTTGTATAGTTGTGGACACAACAAGAAAATTGAGAATAATCTTGTGCGAGGGTAGGGACCCAGATGTCGTTTCTAACCCAAATAAACTTTAAGGAGGCTTCTCATCAGTAGCCGCACCTCCTTACTCGGTTTCTGAACTGGAATTCTATGGGCTTCCAGACGGCCAGACCGAGTATTACCATCCCATCCTTCTAGAGTTCATCACAAGTAGCACCCACCTTGAAGATCTTTGACACCCAGACACACCCCATTGGCGAACAAACTTTGGATATAATCTTACATGCTCCCGAAGGAATCCCTGGTTTATGGTCTTTCTCATCGTCACCAGCACTTTCACTAGGTCACCAGCTCTTTCACTGAAGTCATCAGCCCTTTCACTGAAGTCATCAGATGTGACTCTGATCAACGGTATAGTTGTGGACACAACAAGAAAATTGAGAATAATCTTGTGCGAGGGTAGGGACCCAGATGTCGTTTCTAACCCAAATAAACTTTAAGGAGGCTTCTCATCAGTAGCCGCACCTCCTTACTCGGTTTCTGAACTGGAATTCTATGGGCTTCCAGACGGCCAGACCGAGTATTACCATCCCATCCTTCTAGAGTTCATCACAAGTAGCACCCACCTTGAAGATCTTTGACACCCAGACACACCCCATTGGCGAACAAACTTTGGATATAATCTTACATGCTCCCGAAGGAATCCCTGGTTTATGGTCTTTCTCATCGTCACCAGCACTTTCACTAGGTCACCAGCTCTTTCACTGAAGTCATCAGCCCTTTCACTGAAGTCATCAGATGTGACTCTGATCAACGGTATAGTTGTGGACACAACAAGAAAATTGAGAATAATCTTGTGCGAGGGTAGGGACCCAGATGTCGTTTCTAACCCAAATAAACTTTAAGGAGGCTTCTCATCAGTAGCCGCACCTCCTTACTCGGTTTCTGAACTGGAATTCTATGGGCTTCCAGACGGCCAGACCGAGTATTACCATCCCATCCTTCTAGAGTTCATCACAAGTAGCACCCACCTTGAAGATCTTTGACACCCAGACACACCCCATTGGCGAACAAACTTTGGATATAATCTTACATGCTCCCGAAGGAATCCCTGGTTTATGGTCTTTCTCATCGTCACCAGCACTTTCACTAGGTCACCAGCTCTTTCACTGAAGTCATCAGCCCTTTCACTGAAGTCATCAGATGTGACTCTGATCAACGGTATAGTTGTGGACACAACAAGAAAATTGAGAATAATCTTGTGCGAGGGTAGGGACCCAGATGTCGTTTCTAACCCAAATAAACTTTAAGGAGGCTTCTCATCAGTAGCCGCACCTCCTTACTCGGTTTCTGAACTGGAATTCTATGGGCTTCCAGACGGCCAGACCGAGTATTACCATCCCATCCTTCTAGAGTTCATCACAAGTAGCACCCACCTTGAAGATCTTTGACACCCAGACACACCCCATTGGCGAACAAACTTTGGATATAATCTTACATGCTCCCGAAGGAATCCCTGGTTTATGGTCTTTCTCATCGTCACCAGCACTTTCACTAGGTCACCAGCTCTTTCACTGAAGTCATCAGCCCTTTCACTGAAGTCATCAGATGTGACTCTGATCAACGGTATAGTTGTGGACACAACAAGAAAATTGAGAATAATCTTGTGCGAGGGTAGGGACCCAGATGTCGTTTCTAACCCAAATAAACTTTAAGGAGGCTTCTCATCAGTAGCCGCACCTCCTTACTCGGTTTCTGAACTGGAATTCTATGGGCTTCCAGACGGCCAGACCGAGTATTACCATCCCATCCTTCTAGAGTTCATCACAAGTAGCACCCACCTTGAAGATCTTTGACACCCAGACACACCCCATTGGCGAACAAACTTTGGATATAATCTTACATGCTCCCGAAGGAATCCCTGGTTTATGGTCTTTCTCATCGTCACCAGCACTTTCACTAGGTCACCAGCTCTTTCACTGAAGTCATCAGCCCTTTCACTGAAGTCATCAGATGTGACTCTGATCAACGGTATAGTTGTGGACACAACAAGAAAATTGAGAATAATCTTGTGCGAGGGTAGGGACCCAGATGTCGTTTCTAACCCAAATAAACTTTAAGGAGGCTTCTCATCAGTAGCCGCACCTCCTTACTCGGTTTCTGAACTGGAATTCTATGGGCTTCCAGACGGCCAGACCGAGTATTACCATCCCATCCTTCTAGAGTTCATCACAAGTAGCACCCACCTTGAAGATCTTTGACACCCAGACACACCCCATTGGCGAACAAACTTTGGATATATATAATTTTTGATTTAATAAATTTAAACAAAAAATGTTTGTTATTCATAATATGTTATCCCAGGGCTTAGAGATGAACAGAACAGAGCATTACTGATATTTCCTGTCCCTGATAAGGACACCCTTCCTTCCTACGACGAGTTAGTCTCCGTCTGCAACTACCTTCTATCAGTACCAAAGTAAGTTAATTGCTTTTTGGATCCAATTTAATTCACATTGAATATATAGTCGACAGCTAACCAATTCTTACTTACACTGTCCTAGGAAAAGTGTACAGAACAGAGGAGCCGTGGTGATTGTTGATGCATCTGATGATAACAGGGAACGCCTGTCTGATATCTACAAACTGTTGCAACAACTTCAGGTTCTTATTACTGGGTAGAAATGGCAATATCAGCATTTGATAACCCTCATATTGCATTCGTATTTCAGGAGATGTTTTTTTAATATTCTTATGTTTTTTGGTTTCAGGCATGCCTTCACCAATAATTTCATAATATCCAACTATCTGATGACTTTCTCAGGCTGATTCTCCTGGGTCTCTGGCAGTCATTCACCTGACAAGAGCATGTAAGATTATATCCAAATACAGGGGGGCCGCGCACTTGTGCGTGGCGGGTCATACAACGTATGACAAGCTATCGATCCACAATCGAGGCAAAACTTTTGTTATTAATATCTTAAGATTTGAAGAAATATCATTTTAAAAATTTTGGAATCTGAACACAGATACATAAAAAAAAAACATAATTTCGGTCCTTCAGATATTGTAATTTCTCTATACCAGAAGTTGCGTCTGACCAAGCTTATTACGATAATGTAAAAATTATTTCAAAATATTTAATATTTTAGAAGTTATAAGCTTTTAACGCGAGAACTTATCGATTTTTCGTCCTTTTAACACTTGAAATGCACAGGAGACCCACATACAGCTCGACCTTAACGTGCTGTACACTGAATTTGAATTATTCATACTTAGAGGCAACTTTTGGTATCAAATTTATCAAAATCGGAGACACCAAATTCTGTGCCAACTCATGGCGCTTATTACATAGACTATAACTATAGACGTCACTGGCAGTTATTTAATCAGTTGCAATGTATGTGTACTGATGACTGCCAGTGTAGTGCTCTAAGAAGTAAGAATAAGTCCTCAGTAATTTGTAGAGGACTGGTTCACAGTGTGAACAGATTCCAGATTTATATATTCTTAAACTGATATTTAATAAATGATTAAAAGAACCAATTTTAAAGTTGACATACTGCAGCCTTTAGGTCCAAATATATACCCATGGGCATTATGCTGACTTAAAAACAGCTCTAAATCAGTAGACTGTCACTCTATTAATGCACCACACCGCTACCTCCACTCCTAATAGTTATACAATAAATTCTACAATCCTAATTTCGTATCGTGATGGAGACCGGTGTCCATAAAAAACTTTTACTAGGTTGCCGTTTGGTGTGATCAATAGCGAACAGCACGCACACTCCTTTTCCCCCGTCAATATATATCTAATCTATTCAAAGAGTGACAACCATACTACACATTGAATTAGGATTCCTTTAAATATCAAATCGCTTTATTCTAAACTTGTGGCATAAAATTGAAATTTTTGTTTAACTGAGTACTCAGCTGCCAACAAGATATTTTTTCTTAGCCGGTATGATTTTATTCCTTTTTTGTGTAAAGAAATGAAGTATACTAGCATTACCCGATTCAAAATCTTTTAGCAAACCCATCCTTAAACTACGTGGGATTAATGGAGTCTTTATTCATTGTTTATTGTTGCACTCTCTAATATTTTTGTTTAAGACATAGCCCTTGCACTCAATCAGTACTATTGGCGAATAAAATCAGACCCGTCAAAACAAAATGTCTTATGAGGTGCTATGCTGAGTACGAGTGGCTCCACCTTAGAGAGCTAACTAGGCCGTTATCTGATCCTTAATGTATCGATCCGTTATCAATATAGCAGTTAGTAGCAGTTTGTAGCAGTTTGTAGCAGTTTGTGGCAGTTTCTTTGCACTTTGCTCCTCCTGTGTCTCGCTTGCAGTAGCGCGGCGCGCGACCGCCGAAGGCGGCACTTGTGAAACAAGC